GGATCTCGAAGGCCCTTACAGGGCTTTTTTTTTTTTTTTTTTACCAAGTAGTGCATGGAGTGTTTGAAGCAGGAGCTGCCTTGTTGTCTGTGCCTCTGAGAAGTTTCCATGTGGCTGAGAAGCTGGGTGGCAGCACAGTTGTGATCAGGTGCACAGGTGCTCCCCTGTCTGGGTGGCAAGCGTGCCCACATGGGATCCCATAGAGGAGGCCGGGCCTGAGGAAGCCAGGGAAGCAGGAGGGGCCGTGGGGAGGCCAGCAGAAATGTGGGCCTCCGCGGGGAGGGAATAGGCGATGCAGCATGGAGGATGAGAAGCCCACAGCAGCCGCACTAGGGCCCCAGGAGATTGTGGATGCCGTCGAGAGCATTATTCGGTGGAGGGGTGGGGACAAAAGCCAGATGAGACAGTTCGGAGGTGATAGGCAGGTGAGGACGTGAGACAGAGGGAGAACAGTGATTTGAGAACTGTGTCATAGATGGGACAGGAGTCCACATCCCAGTCAGCACCTGGAAGGTTGGGCTGGTTCTGCCCAGGGCCTGGCACGTAGTGTGCACTCACCAGATGGTCGCTGCCCTGAAAGAACTCAGCACCGTGCCTCCTTTCCTGCCTCTGGTGTTTGCTGTCAATGTGCAGAGTGCTGGACAAAACTGGGCCAAGGGAGCTGTCCCACTGCCTGCTGCCCTCAAGCAGAGCTGACCTGGCACATGCCTCTGGCATGCTTCACTGTTGGCCTGGCCGCCCCAGTGGGCCCAAGCAGGGGATGCCACCTGTTCCTTGGGCTGTTACGTATTTGCTGGGGCATTGAGGGGATGAAAGGTTTTTTGTTTTTTGTTTTTGAGACAGAGTTTTACTCTGAGTGCCCAGGCTCCAGTACGATGGCACGATCTTGGCTCACTGCAACCTCCACCCCCAGGTTCAAGCAATTCTCCTGCCTCAGCCTCCCAAACAGCTGGGATCACAGGCACCTGCCACCACACCTGGCTAATTTTTGTATATTTAGTAGAGACAGGGTTTCACCATGTTGGCCAGGCTGGTCTCAAACTCCAGACCTCAGATCCACCTGCCTCGGCCTCCCAAAGTGCTGGGATTATAGGCATGAACCACTGTGCCCGGCTGGATGAAAGGTATTGAGTACTAGGGGCTAGGAGGGACCAAGAGAAAGAGGAAGAGATTTTTTGGTTCTTCCCATGAACTAAGCAAGGGAGGCAGGGGTAGCCCTTGCACCATGAAAGTGGGAGAGAAGTGATACAAAGGGTCATAACGTCACAGGTGTCACAGGTCTACTTCTTGTAAAGGGCCTCCTGCACGGGGGCCTCCTGCACGGGGTCCTCCTGCATGGTGGGTTCTGCATGGGGCTTTGCTGAGTAACCCCCATCCGGGCCCTATCCCCTTCCCTCATGGCCCTGTGACCTCCTGGCACCATGACCCTCTCCCTGCTCCTGGCTCTAGGAAGCTCCAAACCTCTCTCAACTGCCTGCCCACCTGCCTGCTAGGTTTCCAAAGCTAAACAGAGGGGCGGCTGTCTGGGCAGGGCAAGG